TATTGGCAATTTGGGTAACCCCTTCAGAGAATGGTGTGCTAAGATTAGGAGGTAGGAATTGGCTAGGCATTTAGGGTAAAAAGACCCCAAAGAAAAGTAGCCAGTTTCTTGGCTAAAAGCCGAAATGTCCTTGGGTCTCTTAGCAACATACTCTGTTCCAAAGGCCCAAAATGTCAAAAGCATTTGGGAGCTTGTAGCGAATACCTAAAAGATTTTAGGGTTACCTCTTCAGAGGTGGGAATGTTAGAGTAGCCAAAAGCCCCATAAAAATAAATAAATGAATTAAAAAAAAAGAAAAGAAAAAGAAAAAAAGTGATGGGGAGATATGAGAGGTGTTGGACCAGAGGGATGGGCGTGGATTTGATCAGAACACCTATATGCGTGTATGAAATTCTCAGTAAAGGTTTTGTAAAAGTTAAAAACAAAAGAAGATGGTAGAAAGGGATCAAGTTTAAGAAAAGGGGAGGGTGTCAAGTTGCTCACTGGGAAGAAGTCAGACCTGAAAGCCATCTGTCTTCCCTTTTGTCAATACTTAGTAATAGTAGTAATCTATTAATTTGTTAATATGACTGTGCTCATCAAATTACAGACAGTCTAGGATCAAGTAATCGTTTGTTGTTTTTTAAAATCAGCAGTAAACTGATGCACTCAACAAAACAAGCAAGAAAACTCCCTAGTAGGGAAACACAAGGGGGCCTAATTTTCAAGTTACTAGATTTGAGCTCTCTACTCTCAAGCACATGTTCTCTGAGACTCTCCCTGTTCTTTTGAAGTATTGGATGCCTGCCAGAGGCAACTCTAACAGGAGTAAAGATGGTAATATGGAGAATAAAGCTCAAAGAAGGGGCTGGGGTTCCTAAAAGCTTGGAAGACAAAACCATCAGTGCTACTGTCTACATCTGAATGTCTCATAGAAATCCAGACATGAAAGGTTTGGTCTCCAGCCCATAGGACCACTGGGAGGCAGTAGGACTTTTAGGAGGTAGAGACCAACGAGAAGTCTTCCAGTCACTGGGGAAGGAGTGTGTGTGTCTTAAACAGGATGTGGGACCCCAGTCCCTTACTCTTTCTGTCTTGCATCCTGGTCATAAGCAGCTCTGCTCCACCACTCACTCTCCACCATGATGCACAGTCTTAAGGCCCAGAGAAACAGGGCCCAATGATAGCCTGAAAGTTGCAAAACTGCAAGTTAAAATGGACCTTTTCTCTTCATTAGTTGATCATTTCAGGCATTTGTTATAACAATGGAAAGCTAAGTAACAGTCACCACAGCAAACCAGCCATCTGCAGAATCAAGGGAGACTATTTCTGAGACCCAATAAGGCCATGTTAATTCTACAAGTGAGTCCAAGCCTATAAGGACCCTCTATTCCCCACCCTCGGCAGCAGGAAGTACTGCCATATGCTCTCAGACTGGACTGCTTAGGAGTTTGCCCCTCAGTGGCAGAAGGAAACATATTCCAGCATTTTCCAAAGGATAATGAGTAAGACTATTTAAATAACATAAATATAACTTCCTTGAGCTATTTCAGGATCACATTATGTGGAACTCCAAATAGTTTCCAGCTGCCTCTATATCTATCCCAGGATGTCTTGCCATTATAAGGGAATGATCTGACAGGCATGCCCTGGCAAAGGAGGCAGGGTCATTCACATGTCTGCCAAGCACCTGTGTACTCTACAACATTTTGGCAAAGAGTGGTCGGTGTCCCTAGTCCCTATTGGCAATTTGGGTAACCCCTTCAGAGAATGGTGTGATAAGAACAGGAGGGAGGAAATGCCTAGGCAGTTAGGGTAAAAAGACCCCAAAGAAAAGTAGCCAGTTTCTCGGCTAAAAGTCAAAATGTCCTTGGGCCTGTTAGCAACATACTCTGTTCCAAGGCCAAAAATGTCACAAGTATTTGGGAGCTTGTAGCTAATCCTCAAAAGATTTTAGGGTTACCTCTTCATAGGGGAGAATGTTGGAGGGGAGGGAGTGGGCATGGATTTGATCAAAACACCTTATATGCATGTATGAAATTCTCAAAGTTTTTGTAAAAACTAAAAAATAAAAAATAAAAAAATCTTGGCAACTGCAAGAATCCTGTATGTGCACAGCTGTTATCTCATTGATGCTTTGTGTGGGTATCTCTAGGATGTTAGAGCCCAAAGATTAGGGGGAAAATATGTTTAACCAAAAGAGAAGGCAAAGAATCTGGACCCTGTGGCCAGGACTGTGGCTTGGCTAATTATCTGAAGTCAATCAGGCAGGGAACATCAGTGGTGACTCCAGGAAAGAGAATGTGAGGCCAGTATTTGGAACAAACTAGTACAAAATATGCTTAGGAGATGTTTTAGAATATAAAAATTATGGAACTTCTGAATTCTGACTCAGTCATGAGATTGTTACAAAAAGGGTTAAATATAATGGGTCTTATACACAAATCAGAAATAGGGCCCGACAGCAACTTCAACCACAGAATAAAAGGATATGAACACATCCCAGAGGTAACTGGGGCAGAAATGGGTCTGGAGAAAATCAGTCATTCCAGGAAAAGAGTTTCATGAGATAGCTATAGGCTGGGTTTGCTGGTCCCAACCTCATTTATGATCCATTATATGGACTCAGCGTTTTCACAAGGGGGCCAAAAACCCAAATCCAACAGGGAAGGAAATGAGCAAGGGATCACAATGGTGTGCCATATATTCTGCTAGGAAAAGAGCACTGTGCTAAGAGCTTATGTACAGCGCCTCATTTATGCTCAGTAATTCTAGTCAGGTGAGTAATGCTCCCATTTTGCAGCTAATAAAACCAACATTTTGAAAAATTAAGTAACACACTACAGTCACATGACTAATAAATGGAAGAGTTAGTTTGGGGCTGAGAGTATTAATATAGGTATGTCCATTGTTTAGTAAGTCCTTACATGTTTTAATTTCTTTTGGATCTTTTTCCTTCATTTTAGAAATATTTATAGAGGTGATATATACTAGTTACTACTTTTCTAGATACTAGAGACAAAGCGTGACTAAAAATTTTTACTTTAAGTTTAGTTCAAGGATGGCTAAAGTTCACTGTTAGAGTGCTTGTCCAGCATACATAAGGTTTTAGGTTCCATTTTTACCAAGGGAGCAAGGAGAAGTCTCTCTCTCTCTCTCTCTCTCTCTTCCCCTCTCTCACACACACATAAATAATAAAGTTATATACACAAGGAAGTAACAATCATCTGAAGCAGCCATCTGTCAGTGTTCTTAAGCCAATCATTTAAAAAAAACTTTTTTTTTTTTGTCTTTTTGAGACAGGGTCTCCCTATAGTCCCAGCTGGCCTGGAACTCACTATATAGACCAAAATGGCCTCAATTTCACAGAGATCCACCTGCCTCTGCCTCCAATGTGCTGGGACTAAAGGTATATGCTAACATGCCTAGCTGATTTAAACAACTTTGAATTTTTTGTTTGCTTTTTTTTTTTTCTTGAGATAGTCTCCACTGTAGCCCAGGCTATCCTCAAACTCACAGTATTCCTTCTGTTTCAGTCTCCCAAGTGCTAGGATTACAGGTGTACACTACCACTCCCAATTTAATATCAAACAAATATAGTTTGGGGAAGTTGTAACCAAAGGGAAGAAAAAGTTGCTCTTGTAGAGCAAAAGAACATTCTTCAACCTACTAAGCTGCCTTCAACCCAGTTCAACAGGAACACATTAGTAATCTGGCCATGGACTCCAAGAGATACAATCAAGTGAACATCTAGGCAAAACACTGACGGGTGAGACATAAGGCAGGGTGTCAAGGAAAGAGTGGAATTCTTGACCTCTAGATTAGATCCTGAAGGTATAAAGATAGGGCCCTTCCAGCAGATTCACATGCACCAACACATGGAAAAAAGAATCAGAGGCCAGAGGCAGCTGCCCACTCACATTAGGTAAGCCTGAGGTAATGATACCCTGCCCTCCACAGGACTTTATCCAAAGGGAAAAAAAAGTGGGCTACAGAGGGAGGTGAGTATTTTATACATCAGATTGCTTGAACCTCAGGACTTAAACACATAGTTGCTTCACTCCCCTCCAGACACATCCTTTTTGCCCCCTCCTCTAGCCAAAGAAGCAGAGTAAAAAGAGGCAGACCCCGGCTGACAGGCAAAGTAAAAGACAGTAACTGGAGGATCTACCGGGAGGACATCTACCATATTAGTCCAAACTTTTTGTACAAGAATTTGGAAAAACAGTTCGAGCAAACAAACCATATGTATAGGTTGAAAAGAAGAGGTAGGGGAGGGATGAAAATAGAGCCATTCTCCAAATCTGGGGGCATATACTCAAAGATAAATGCTAGATAACTCTGACCTTTAGAGCACAAACTATCAATTTACACAAACAACCTTGGACATATTATTATTTTAAAAAGACCTCAGCAAGCCTCTGTGGCACTTGTGGTGTCTGCTTCTTGAGGTTAGAGGCAGGGCAGACTTTCAGAGCCCTACTTCTTTTCCCCATTGGAGCAGGCCCCAAGATCTAGAAGATACCACACACTCTGAAGGCTCATGTGACTCTTCTTAATGCCAGCTTCTCAGAGTGCCACAAGCTTTCTCATCTGAGGACACTCACAGTACCAGTGGATTAAACAACAGCAGGTTTTCCTAAGCCTGTAGTTGGCAAAGAACTGCCAGAGTGGGAGTAGAAAAAAACCCACTAGCAATGAATGAAACCATTCAGATGACAACCTATTCCATCATCAGCCACTTCAGGAAAGTAGGAAGGAGAGCTTTTTAATGGGAAAGGAAACCTCTTGCTCTGAATATGTCATCATTCATATCCTGACTTAGGAAGGAAGAGAACTCTATCTGAGCTCAATGCATGACTCACTAGTCCTTGCTGACCTGACCCCACTTGGTTCTCTCCACACCTCACCCTACCCTCTGTAGAGACTACAAGACAGCTCCCTAGGTGCCTGACTAGGACTCACAGGGAACCACACATCCACCCTGAAGGGCCCGGCCTTGTGCCCAGGGTGGGACTTACCAATGTCACTCAGCAGAGTAAGGATGGCTCCTTCCCGAAGGCCACAGCAGTTCTCAAACTGGTTTAAATACTGCAGAGAACATGAAAAGAAGTGTCAGGGTAGATGGTCACACACCACCAATAAGCCCATCAGTGTCTTCCACCAGCCCAATAGCTGAGCGCTAGTACCAAACCTGGACTGGCAGGAACTGCTCCAAGGCCAAGGTGAGGAAGCCATCTGGAGGTACTCATATGCTCATCTCCCTGGTCCTTGGAGGTGTGAGTCAGCCTCACTTATTGCTGTAGGTCTGAATGAAGCAGTCAGAGTCTAAGCTCAATGGCAACTTAGTTTGCTCTTGAGATTCCTCCAGACAGGACAGGTAGTGAAGGGCTCACAGAAAGTCCACCACTGACCACTCGGCTGACATGGTCTTCCTTGCGAAACAATCTAAGGTACAGAATATGCACTTGCTATGTGCCTGGTACTAAGCCAGCTCTGCAGACTCTACCTGCTTCATCCTACACTAATGCCTTGAATTACACATTCCTGCTGAGGAAAGAGCTGTTGGAATCTCCAATTCAGAGGCAAAGAAACAGACACGGGGAATCCACTAGAGGTTTGCACAAGTAGCTGAGAGGCAGGGCTGTAAGGTGAAACTAAACTCCCAGAAGCTGAGCCCAAACCCAGAATCCTCCGCCTTTCTGGTTCCCTGATGTATCAAGGTGCTACACAATGTTGGAAGTCAGCTTGTGGCCATTAACATTTAATTCATGAGCATTCCAGGGTCTGTTTACTTAGGCATCATACATAATTCACTATTTCTATGTTTTTGGCTTCTTTGTTTGGGGGCTGTGTTTTTTTGGACAGTATCTCCACGTTACCTAAAATGATTCTCTTCCCTTAGCCTCCACAGTAGTTGGACTATAGGTGCACACAAGCACAGCTGAGTTAAGTCAATACTGATTTTGAAATTACTTATGTGCTGGTCAGGTTTGTCTCTCTGGGCCCATGGCTTTAGATTTTTAATTTAATTTAATTTTTATTTATTTTTAAATTTTTTATTTATTATTTTTGTGTGTATGAGTATACTGCCTGCATGTATGCAAATGCACCTGTGTCGTGCAATGCACGAAAAGGGCATCAGATCCTCTGGAACTGGAGTTATGGACAGTTGCTAGCTGCCATTTGGGTGCTAGAAACCAAACCCAGGTCCTCTGCAAGAGCAGCCAGTGCTCTTAACCACTAAGCCAACACTCCAGCCCCAATTTTTTAAATTTTTTAGAGAGAGGAAAGACAGGCTATCTTATTTAGGGAAGAAGAGAACATAAGAGCTCTGGGCAGCAGCACCTTCTCCCCAGTGCCACTGTAGGTGACATGAGGGACAGAGGTCCCTTAGGATGCAACCACCTTCTGCCTCCCTGAAGATCACCCTGCAAATTCCCATCATCTTTCCTGGCTTATTGGCTCTTTGCTGCCTAGAAGGGTAAGTGTATACTCTCTGCTGTATCTCTGAGCACCCCATTACCTGGTCATACCCACCTCCATCCTCTAAGAACCCACTTCATCATAACAGCTAACAACTGCATGGCTTTATTTCCACTCAGTTGCAGTTAGTAACTGGATGATTATTAAAAGGTTACAAGACAGGAGAATCATGGCTTTGTCAAACTCCACATTTCTCATCTGTTATCATCCTACTTATAGGTCACATCCTGTCCCCAAGCTGCACAACTCCCAGGACACACCCACTTCCATGGCAGGAGAGTCACTTGTGGAAACTTTCCTTTTAAAAACAAGGTGAAAGGCAGAGAATGAAGAACACAGCACACATTACTCTGGGAAATGTCTATGTGAAGAGAAGAAATGAGTGGGCATTTAAGCCCATAAATCATGGGTCCTTTAAAGATTTGAGCACAGCTGTAGGAAGAGATTGAAAAGCAATGCATTTGGAGCTCTTATTTTTACTAACACTATATGGCATTACCCAGGTTCACAGGGGAAGAGGGTCTGCAGTTGGGTTCATACGGGCTGTGATCCAAGCTAACTCTGCTGCTGTGTACAGCTAGTGATTCATCTAACATCTCTGGGCCATGTCTACCTGTAGTGCAGGAATTCTATGTCCCATTGCTGCTGAAACAGAAACAAGGCACCCTGTGATAGCATAAAAAATATCTGGAGATGGAACATGGAACTGTCCCTGACACCAGGGGGAATTGCCATTGTCCATTCTCCAGTGTGGGTTCCAGAGCAAAGACGAGAAGACAGTGAGAAGGAAGAAGGAATGCCTGGCACGTGAGTTAGGAGAGGGTCTGGAAATACAGTCCTGTTCTCTGATACCCAAACCAATAGTCCTCCTGCCCTCTATGACTCTGTGCAGTGTTATCACATCTTTGGAGAAGGTCCCTGCCCACTAGACAGCAGTGACAATGACTCTGAAAGACTGCAGTGGCCCTAACATGCCAAAGGAAGAAGAGTTTGTGTTGGAACTTGTCTAGGGCCTCCCCTGAGGCCCAGGCCTGGTGGTGACTTTTCCTTGCCATTTTAGTGATCACAGTACACAATAGACACAGCCCTTCCTCAAAAAGGCTTCTGACTCAGCCTTTTGATTCATATTTACAGTATAATCACCCCAAAGTAAGGCATGGAAGAGGAGATTTGAGAAGGGGAAGTCAGTTCACTGAATCCACTGACTCCTTGAACTTTCCGGTTGATGATGGTGAAAGGTCTATTCCACTTCTCTCCCAGGGCCCCAGCCCTACTCAGATGGACCCGTACACCACCACCCCAGATACCTCACCTTTCGGAGATCTCCTCCTTGGCAGTACTCCATGGCGAGTAAAGGCAAATCATTGGGTGCCAAGTTCTGCATCCCCTCAGGGACATCCCGGGCAGCCACTACATTGGGATGGTTCAGCCTACGAAGGAAGAAAGCCAAGTTTCAGCTCAAACCTATCCCCTTCATTCCGTGTCTTAGCCAGTCTCACCTCCCAACAAAGACATAGAATAACTAGTCTCCTCAGGAAGTAAACAGAAGATGGGGTTCAGGAATAGAAGATTTACCTGGTACACTGGTCAGTTAGCATACATTTATTCAGCCTCCCTTAGCACTCTGAACTTAAACACCCTACAAATATGTCACATTCCATTTAATTGTCTTTAAAGTATTCTATTTTAACTCTTCATTGTACTATAAGACTGCTTTTAACACAAGACAACAGGGACTTCCAAACTCATGTCATTCAAGGATAACATGGGCATGCATATGGACATACAATGAAGAAGACACCTGCACTTTTTCCTCTTTTTAAGAAGTGAGCAGACTGATTCTTTTTTAAATTTTATTTATTATTTTTATGTGTATGAGTGTATTGCTTGCATGTAGGTAGGTGCGTCTTTGTTGTACAATGCCCACGGAGATTAGAAAAGGGAGTCAGATCCCCTGGAACTGGAGTTACAGACAGGTGTTAGCTGCCATGTGGGTGCTGAAAATCGAACCCGGGTCCTCTGCAAGAGCAGTCAGTGCTCTTAACTGCTGAGCCATCTCTCCAGCCCTGACTATTTTGAGCTGACTCTTAGAGTGCTCACCTACAGGTCCTACCAGTTGGAAGGACAGCATCTACCTAGGACAGATTTTCTCTTCACAGTGTAATATCCACAGAGGGCAGACAGCAGTAAGGAGTCACATGCCACTGTGGAATCAGAAACACAGGGAAAAGAAGGGATTCTATAGAAGGAGTCACACGCCACTGTGGAATCAGAAACACAGGGAAAAGAAGGGATTCTATAGACAAATGAAAATACACCATGATGACTATTTTAATTAACTTATTACTTACGTAATTTTTGAGACAGGGTCTTACATTGCCTATTCTAGTCTCAAACTCCTGGACTCAACTGATCCTCTGGTCTCCACATCCCAAATAGCTGGGCCTATCGGAGCATACTATCTTGCCTGATTATGATGGCTATCTTAAATTAGTTTACGTAAAAAACTGACCATAGGGGGCTGGAGAGATGGCTTAGTAGTTAAGACAATTATCTGCTCTTGCAGAGGACCCAGGTTCAATTCCCAGCACCCACATGGTGGCTAACAACCATCCATAACTCCAGTTCCAGGGGATCTGATGCCCTCTTCTGACCTAAACAGGCAATGCATGAAACGGGTACACTCATACACATGCAGGCAATACACTCATGCGCATAAAATAAAAATAATAAAAACTGACCATAATGCCCAATGTACTGTCTAAATGTTACTCCCCTAGAAGACTGTAGAAGAGGACAGTCACCTATCTGCATAGCCTGATGGAGGAGACTTAGGATTCTTTTCTCTAGATGCAGCAGGTAGAACAGTGCTGTGGCTTTCATTCCAGCATTGCAAGCTGTGGAAATGGTTCCTCCAACTGTGAGCCCAGCCTCACCTTCTCATGATCTGGATCTCTAGACACCAGCGATCTCGGTTCTTTGGGCTGAGTTCCTGTCGGCACTGCTTGATTGCGATTTGTTCACTTGTCTCCTACAGAAAAGGCAAACTGGGGATTAGCAGAATGAACAACGCAACAGGTAACCAGTTCTGAGCAATTAGTGGCCACACAGGCATTCCTGAGAGTCCTTGGTCACCTGCTCTGTCTGGTTGTGCTCCTCAGCAGCCCACCTCTCATCCTGCTCAACTCCCTCTTCATCAACCTATTTATAGACCACAAATTCTTCAAGCTTTGTTCTGTCTCTATTTCTTCCACAAATCTCTGCTGCCCATTCCTTCCCAGGGACTTCTATTTCTCTCTTCAGCCCCCAATTGCTGCTATATTAAGTTAAACCATACAACATTGTTGGTGACTGGCCACCTTCAAATATAAAAATGGCACTTCCATATGACTCAACCTAACTATGGCACAGTGAGTGTCTCCACTGTTTCACACAAGAGTGTTGTCTCTTCAGAGAGAAAACAAGCATGGGCGAGATAATCAATGGGATACAGATCAGCTCAAATTCCAACTCTTTTTTTTTTCACCAAGTATGTAACCTTTAGGCAAACCACAAATTGACTGTGTATTGATTTATGAAATAGGAATACTGAGTCTCACCGTTCAAGTTTATAATTAAAACAAAAACACAGCAGTGTCTATGCACAGCAATTGCCTAACAACTCTATAAGCAGATAGTCCATATCATGATGCATGTACTCCTCTGAAGCTTGGTTTCAACCTAACTTTCCAACCATTGTCCCCAGGATCAGGTACTGATGCTACATCTAGACTAGCCCATCTGCCCCAGTCCCTGCTTTTCAAGGCCTGTGCTCTGGCTTCCACTAGTCACAGTGTGTTTGAGTTCAGCCTGGGATGTATGAGACCCTGTCTCAAAATAAATAAGTATGTATATAAAAAATAACAAGGAAACCACAATGGAGAATATTGTGGTAGTTACTAGTGTAGTTTCATGAAGTTTACAAATTTTATACTTCATAACATACATTTATACATGTAATGTAAAAAATCCAACCTGATAAACTGTCACATGCTAACTAAGAAGCTGGCTCTGGAAGCAGAGTAGATTCTTCTACCCACATTTCAGACATGCTTTGAGACATGCCTGTCTCAAAGTCTTCTAAGACCACTTGTTCAGGAACAGATGGGCTGGTCCCCTGGCCCAGGGAGAAAGGAGAATAGCAAAATAGCCCAAGAGTAAAAACATTGTGCACTTGAGAACAAAGGAGAATAAATCATTTGAGAAAAAAATATGTGCCCTTGAGATCAGCTAGAGGTTATTACTGCATGGTGTAAAAATGCCTGTGGTGGGAATAGAAAGGCAGAAAAGAAGCCTATCCATGGAGAGAATGCTCTGTTCTGCCTGGGAACCTCTCATTAGGGATTATAGGCTGGCATCACCACGCCCACTTTCTATGGTTTTGGGGATCAAATCCTCCAGCATGATGATTTCAGCAGAGCTTCCCCATTAGACGCAGAAAAGGCCTCTAACAAAACTCAAAATGCCTTCATGATAAAAGTCCTAGAGAGAACAGGACTGGAGGGAACATATCTCAACATAATCACAATATATGACAAATCTACCACCAACATCATCCTAAATGAAGAAAAACTTAAAGCAAGCCCATTAAAATCAGGAATGACACAGAGCTGTCCACTATCTCTACTCTTTTTCAATATAGCGCTTGAAGTCCTAGCTAGTGCAATAAGACAAGAAAGGGAAATTAAATATACAAATAGGGGAAAAAAGTCTAATTATCCCTATTTGTAGATAATGGTATTATACATAAGTGATTCCAAACAAATTCCACCATAAGACTTCTAGAAATGATCAACACTTTCAGTAAAGTCACAGAATATAAAATTAACTTGAAAAAAATCAGTAGCCTTTCTATTTACAAATAACAAGTATTCTGAGAAAGAGACCATGGAAACATTTCCATTCACAATAGCCTCAAAAAAATAAAATATCTAGGAATAAACGTAACCAAGGACATGAAAAGACTTTTGCAATGAAAACTCTAAATCCCTAAAGAATGAGACTGAGGCAGACATTAGAAAGCTGACAGAACTCTCATACTCAAGGATTAGTAGAATTAATACTGTGAAAATGACCATTCTACCAAAAGCAATTTACAGATTCAATGAAATCCCAATCAAAACCTCCGTGACATTCCTCACAGAAATAGAGAAAACCATCCTAAAATTCATATGGAAGCACAAAAGACCCTGGATAGCCAAGCAATGCTGAGAAAACCAACAATGCTAGAGGGATTACCACACCAGATCTCAAGCTATATTAAATCTATAGTAATAAAACCAGCATGGTACTGGCACAAAAACAGACATATAGATCAATGGAACAAAACAGACCCAAACACGAGTGCACATTAATTACAGCCATCTGATATTTGACCAAAAATGCACACTGGAGGAGCTGGAGAGATGGCTCAGTAAAGAGCATGTATTACTCTTCCAGAGGATCTGAGTTCAATTCACAGCACCCATGTTGAACAGCTAGCTCAGAGGCTTGTAAATCCAGCACAGCACTCCTGTGCACAAACCCTCACACACACACACACACACACACACACACACACACACACACACAAAACTAAAAACTAATAAAATAAAAATAAATACACACTGGCAATAAGACAGGATCTTCAACAAATGGTGCTGGGAAAACTGGATCTCCACATACAGAAGAATGAAATTAGGCCCATATCTGTCACCCTTCACAAAAGTCAACCCCAAATGGATCCAAGACCTCAATGTGAAACCTGAACAACTGAAACTGTTGTAAGAAAACATAATATTCTACAAGGACTTTCTAAACTAGATTTCATTTGCACAGGAATTAAGGCCAACAATTAACAAATGGGACCTCATTAAATTAAAGAGCTTCTTATAGCAAAGGATATGATCAATCAAGTTAACAGGAAGCCCAGAGTGAAACAGACTCTTTACCAGCTATACATTTAATAGAGGATTAATATACAGACTATACAAAGAACTTGATTAAAAAACTGGATCTGAATCCAAACAGAGTTCTTAAAAGAAGAAATAAAAATGGCTTAAGAAATATCTTAAAATGTGCTCAATATCCTTAGCAATTAGGGAAATGAAAATTAAAACTTCTTTAAGATTTTTATCTTACCCCAGTCAGAATGCCTAAGATCAAGAAAACAACTGATGACAAATGATGGTGAAGATGTCGGAAAAGGGAACCTTACTCACTGCTGGTGGAAATCAGTGTGGAGAATTCTCAAATAAGCTAAAAGTAGATTACCATATGACCCAGCTGTACCACTCCCTGGCACATACCCAAAGTGTTAAGAGTTAAGAGAGAAGAAAAAGGAAGGAGTTTAAAGTTTAAAAATAAGTCAGAGCCAGACCTGCCACAGGCAAGGAATATATCCTCTTTATTCAGAGAACACAGCAAAGCAAAGACACCATCCACAGAAACAGGCATCTGAAACCCAGGGAAGAGACTTTGAGGTTTTTATAAGAAAGCTACCAGACAGCGGCAGCTCACAGGCATTATTAGTGCCAGGCTCTGATGTCCTTGGGGTGATTAAAGGTCTTCTTCTTCCTAAGATTATTTTCTCAGGCAGGGCAAGTGAGTTATCCATGGCACTAAAGGAGACAGGGTGGCTCCATAAACAGTTTCTCAATCCAGGGAGTGATAAGGGTTGAGCAAGGCCAGGCCATCAATTTAGGACCAATTGGCCAGTTTGAGGAGTTTACGTTTGTATGGCTTCCTTTACTTTGGACTTTTGACTCTCCTTAATTCACACATTCTATCACATAGGACTCTATATCCTACTACAGAGATACTGGCTCAGCCATGTTCATGGCCACTCTTTTTATAATAGCTAGGAAATGAAATGAAAACCTCAGTGTGCTTTCAGCTGATGAATGGATAGTGAAAATGTCACACACACACACACACACACACACACACACACACACACAAAATGGAATTCTGTTAAGCTGTAAAGAAAAACAAAATCATGAAATGTACAGGTAAATGATGGAACTGGGAAAGATTATGCTGAGTAAGGTAACCCAGGCAAGACCCAGAAAGACAAATGCCATATAATCTTTCTTATTTGTAGATTCTAGTTCCAAATCTTTAGACATAAGTATATAACCTGAAGTACTCACAAAAGCCAGGCAAGCAGAAAGGGACCATGTGGGAAGGGGAAGAGAAGAAGATCCAGACAGAAGAATAGTAGCACACAGGTAGTGTCCAAGGGGAAATGGGAAAAATGGGTATTGTCCAGTGGTTTCCTGAGATAAAAATCTTCCTCAATAGTATGCTCTCAGAGCAGGTAGAGCATTGCATCCTATTGGGAAACTTGTTAAGCTTAGGAAGTAAACAACTGAATAGCTCCAGGTAGGCCCTGGAACTGACCAGGTTCACTAGGACCCTCTGTGAGAGACTCTTAGACAAGCTGAGCTGCTTGGAAAGGCTTGGCTCGACTGCGCTACCTGGAAAGGACACTCTCCAACCTGTTGAGCTGCCTGCAGGCTGTGAAGCGCACTCCAGGTTCCCTGCTTTCATGAACTGTCCACCATGTTGGGGTGGATTTTTGGTGATGCATCTGTCTTTGAGTCACTGCTGCTCCTGTAAGTAACCCCTCACCTATACTCCTATGAGTAACTCCAATAAACTCATTGGTTTACTACATTGGTGATAAAATGTGTGAAGAGCCATGGGTCTAATTAGGAAAGCACTATAACCATAAATCCTTTAAAGTGGCTAACTGGCCCTAAATTGGCAGCCTGGCCTTGCTCAAGTCTTATCAACTTGGACTGAGAGAGGCTGTTACGGAGCCCACCTGTCTCCTTTAGTGCTATAGATAAACTGCCTGCCTGAGAAAATAACCTTGGGAAAAGAGATCTTTAAGGACACCAGACCCTGGCACGGAGTTAACTCTTGCAGTTGTGTGCAGCAAAGTTCCTACACAAGTCCAGACTCTTCCACCATGCATTGAAGATACCCGCTCTGCTCAGAAGAGCTTAT